CTCTAACAAAAAATAAATAAATAAAACTAGACTAAAGCCTAAATATAGTTTTGTGATGATACACTGTGTATTGGTCTTTTGGAGACAGTAAACATTAAGACATGAAAAAAAATCTCTATAAAACCTTACAGTGCTTAATAAATAACTACACAGATCTTCTCAAAGACTGCACACACAGATAACAGAAATATTTACAATTTATCACTTTTATGATTGTCACAAAAACCATTCAAATAAATAAATCAAACTTTGCTAAAACAGGCACAACTTCTTGGAAGCTCTAATTATGCTAAAATAAACCCATAATGTCCTCCTGATTTAATAATGGCATCTCCACTATATAATTCTAACTTACTTATAAATTCAGTGTGTTTCTCAAAATGCACTGAATTTATAAGTAAGGGACTTCTGGGCCCCTCTCCAGACCTGCTGAATCAGAATTGCAGGGGCAATGTTTTCCTGTCCACACTAAGGCTAAAGAACCATTACCTTCCCTGTCACATTTATAACAAAAGTTTTGAATTACAGGAACTAAAATCTCTTTGGGGATCTTTTAAAAATTTTAAATTTCATTACATAACAGATTAATATTTCAAAAAGATTTAGGTAATAAACGTGGCAGAAAAACAAGTGCCTAAAAAATTACAGTTGGAATTAAAAGAAGAAATCTTTAGTATAGAACATTTTATTTTTAACTTAAGATTTAAGATATCTCTACTACTTATTTCAAAGACCAACAGGTGTTTGAAAATGAAATTCTTAACTTAAAAAGAAATTAAAAATACAGTATTTCAAATATGTTCAAATTAATTTACTCAGTTATTAGTAAATCAGGGTATGAAATGTTTGCATCACGCCAAATATCACTGGTGATTAGATTATAAAAATAAATCCAATCTGTTTATATTCCACTATTGAGTTTATTATAATCAGAAACTGATTTTTCATAAAGTTACATAACTTTCATAAACTTATATAAATATGTATAGTGGGAAGAGTAATGAGTAAAACTAGAAGCCACCTAGAGTTCATTTCTTGCTAATCTAGCTGCTAGGTAAATGATCTTAAGAGCCTGCATAAATCCTTTTAACTGGGGTGGGGGTGTACAACTATCTATCTTACTTATCTCACAGGATTATTTATTGTGAGAATCAAATGAGATAGTATGCAAATACATTCTCAAAAACTGTAAAGCACTCCATAAATCATTACCATAAAGTATTCAGACACAAAATTTGAGAAATGCTATCTGTAGGCACCTGAATTAAAACAGACTATCAGCAAAAAAATTAAATAATACAGAACATAAAATTGAATCTTTCACATTCAATTAAATATTGAACACTATTCATTATATTCTGTAAATGGTAAATAATAAAACATTAAAATTCAAGTCCATTTTCTATCCTATATGCCCATTTATAACACATCCATTTCTTATGCGAAGATAAAAGTGGAATTAGACAAGCCATGAGGGTGTCAAAAATGGTTAGTTTGCCAGTCTATTTTCTCACATTTGACATTTCTATAATAAAAATTGTTAATAACTGTGTCTTAGCTTTCTAAAAACTAAAAAAATTATCTTTGAAATTATTCCTATAAACTATTGTATATAATTTTTCTTGTAATGATGTCTCAGACTCTATAAAAGAACTCTCCAATAAGCTACTAGTTCCTTTCTATATAGACACCTACTAGAAAATATTTTTTTCTCAATGAATCCAATAAACATTCTTACCCAATATGCAAAATTTAAATCTTAAGTTTGTTTGTCAATCTTTATTCCTTTTATTGCTTTTTTCATTAATTACAAAATTTCAAAACTCAAAAGTGAAAATATAAGTTTTAACTGTGTATACACATACAAAATAAAACCAAAAAATAGCAAATGCTCTTTTGGTTGTTGTTCAATATCGCAAAAGTTTTGGGTGGCCATTCCTTTTAAAACTCATTTTAACATAACAGTTTGATCCAAAATGAAGTTAACATGTTTGTCAAAGGAAATTAGTAAACTTAATCCCCCAAATAAAGGATTCTATCAAAGTATATGTAACAATGTATAATTTCTCTGCATTAACCCAAGAGCTTAAATAATGTCCTTTTACCTGGGGCCATAATCCTCCACTTGAAAGAGACCATGTAATACTAAGAGCATAAACCATCTTTCATCTCAAACAGACTTTTGGCTTAGTTTTTGTTTAATAAAGATTTACCTACAATCAACAGCTGATGCTTTGCAGTAGTCTATGAAGAAATCACAAGTGTTGAATTAAAATTTGAAGGAAGACAGAATGGTAATAATATCTTGTGGTTTGTAATTAAGATTATATTAGATATTATACACATGTCAATTCATTCATTATTTGACAGCTAAACCTTTTTTTTCCTCATGTTACAGCTGTAGTACAATAATTGAAAAGTATGTTGTGCCTAAAGCGATAGTGTACCTGTACATTTTTGATCTGGGAAGGAGTAAGAAAGAGAAGGAGCAAGTAGGCAGGGAAATCACAACAATTCAGCTGTCACTACAGCATCTGTTTTCTAAACATGAAAAATTCCATTTATTTTTATATGCTGTGAACTTGAGAGAAGCCATATATAGAAACCACTTTTCCAACATGGTCTTTATTAAACTGAATATTAAGTACTCCTCTTAGAAGTGCTCATTTGTATTACTTTAAAACAAGTAATTGTAAAACTGAGCAAACCCATAAAAGGCAAGTAGATGGAAGATAACAAAAAATTACTACACCTTATGCAAGCAAGGTTAATAATTTCACTGATTTTGCATGTTTGTTTTAGAAACTGTTAATATTCAGCAGCTCAAAATATTGTAAAACCACTATAATGTTGGTAGTGGTATAGCTACCTTTAAACATCTATTTACATGCATCTATTACTTTTCTTCTAATTCCTAAGCATATCCAGACTACCAATACGACTATTACTTTATCATAATCATAAATCAAAATCAGTTTGTCACCTCATCTTAGAATGCTATATTAGATCACAAGCTTCAATTAAAAAATTATAATTTCCATACAATTGAAGAAATTCCTTCCAAAAGACTTAAGAAATTACAGAAGACAATTTCCCCTTATAATGTTTAAATGGAGATGTCAGAGATGACAACTATGATAAAAATCAAGAAGGTGTACACGTACTCTGAATTTTTACCATTTGAATAAAAGTAAATCAAGAAATTTAAAATTAAAGGTGGCGCTCTGTCCTCAACTCACCCGAATGTGACTCACTTTTGCAGACTATATGGTAGGAAATAACAGTTACTTTTCAAAGATCTTTGCAGTTACACCCAAGCCAAAATCAGGACAGAGATCCACCCTTAATTACAGCAATTTAACTGTCTTACCAAAGCAAGGTAGAAACTAAAACGTCCCCCTGAAATCATGGCTTTAAAAAGCCCATTTCATATTAGCCTTCAAAGGTTCCCGATAAGAAAAAAATGTCTCTATTTACTTCAAATTTGAACTCAAAAGAAAGGGGGGGAGATAGGGGGAAGGGAACACAAGTACAAAAAGCAGATTCTCCTCCAATCCCTCTTAATTCCCCCCAATCCGCCTCTGGCCACACACAAGGACAGGGAGTCTCCCCTAGGAAGGCTAGTGGCAGGGAAAGGGAAGGCCCTCCATTCACTCACGTGGGCCACCATCCAAAGGGATGCCCGAAGAGAGCTTCACACAAACCAGGCCCTTACAAGTACTTCTTATTATAAAATACACCCACGCTGAACAAGAGCCTTATTTTAAAGTAAGACTGTCCTCAGGTGGGGGAGGTTAAGCACAACAAAGGCTTCCATGTTGAAAGGCAGACAGCCAAAGACATATGCACATAACTAGACACGTATGAAGAAATTCATGTAACTAATTTATCAGAACAGCAATCAACACCAACAGAAACCATTAGATTATTAATACATCCAGAAAAGTAGTGTGCATAAGCAGCCAAAGGTGGCTGTCTGCAGCGCTCTAACCTAGGGGATAGGCAAAAATCAGCATACCGAGGAGGGTCCAGCCCTCTAGTTTTTGCAGACTCCCTCAGCTGTGACCAAGACCTGCCCTCTTCGCCAGGGCGCCAAGCAATGCTACACGCACTGGATGAGTGCACTCCCAACGCTGCGAGTCCCGCAGAAAACTGGTGAATGAAATGCGCAGAGACCGACTGGCCAGTGACCGAGGCGCAGACCCAGGGGTCGCTAACTAGCTTAGCTATGTGATTCTCCTGCAGGATGGAATAAAGGGAGCACACCCCACCACCACCCCCGCAACTGAAATGTCGTCCTCTTCCTTACTGATCCTTTCCAAAGAGGGGAGGAGAAGATTTTTTTTTCTTTTAAACTAAGTCCACAAACACGAATCGGAAGCAACCGTGAATATCCTGGGGAGCCAGACGAAAAGACACGAGAAGAAAGGCGAGGCAGCCCTCCAACTCCTCGGGAGTCACTGTCCTGTCTGACATGCATCCATCAACCAGTCCCGCCGGAGGCCGTTGAGGGCCCCTCGGCTCCCCGTCCGCAGTGCGTCTCGGGGGGCTGAAGCAGGGGATTAAAGGGGTGACCCTCCCCGGGCGCAGGGATAGGGAGCGCCCGGCACCGCTGCCCTCAAGGTCACCACGCGCCGGGGCGGGGGCGACCTGTGTTGGGATGGGCTGTGGCGTGGCCCAGGCGGTTCGGTGAAGTCAAAGAGCCGCGGGCGTAGACAAGGAGGCACACTGAGCACCGTCCCTCGGGTCCGGGGCGGCGACTTCAGGCTGGACCTAGCGCTGAGGCGCGCGGCGAGAACAAGCTCACCTTTAAGATTCCCCAGCAGGAGACAACCTGTGAGGCCCCCCGCCTGCCCCCGCCAACTTCTCTCGAACGCCCCGCAGTCTACCCCGCAGCCAGCTGTCAGGACCCCAGCCGCGAAGCCACCACCTCCCGATTCCGCCCGGCCTCCCCCGCAGGTGACCACCCCCACGGCGGGCGGGCGGCGGCCGCCACTCACCTAAGCGCGGCAGCGGGAACCATTTTCCGAGGGGGAAAGGAAAGGGAGGCTGCAGAAGGGTCGAGGGGGGGTAGCGAGGGGCAGCGGGAAGCGCAGAGAACAGGGGCTCGGTCCTCCGCGCGTCCGCAGACGGCTCGTAGGACTTAGGGCGCCACGCGGAGGTGCAGCTGCACCTCTCGGATGAGGCGGCCGTGGAGCTGAAAGGCTCGGCGTCCACCAGCCGGGGCTCCCTACTCACGCTGCACTGCGAGGAGGCGGCGGCGGCGGTGAAGGAGGAGGAGGCGGCGCCCGGCCGGCCCCCGCCC